TTTTATGAGTGACCCAATAGCATACCTTTCCCTTTCCTTATTATCTTTTCCCCCCATGCCCTGGCCACTAAGCCTGTTTTCTTTCCTTGGCACTTTTTCTGAAGCTTTCCTGGCCTCTTGCAGACCTCTATTGACAAAGGCATAGCTTTCTCTCTCCCTTTTCTCTGCCTCCTTCATCAGGCAGCCGCTAAGACTGACAGCTTGTCACTTAACCTCAAGCTCTCTTTTTTTTTTAATTGAGTCATACCTGCCAGGAGCGGCTGGGTCCCTAGTCCCGAGTGACTGGCCTTCACTCACCAACTGGTCCGTCCTGTGTCCTCTGAGTCTTGGTGTGTGACGGGAAGACAGCTAACATCCAAGGTCTTCTCCACCAGAAGCCACTAGCTCTGCAAAGGATGCTCTTTCCCTTTCTCTCTCCACCCTTGTGGCGCTGGGACACACACCGAAAGTGTATGTGGCTGGTTTGAGGAGCCGCTGCTCCTTCTTCCTGCACCCAGACAAGAACTCCTTATTGAGCATATTGAGCAAGAAATCAACAGAAACCTGTCTCAAACTGGACAATGTCAAAGGCTCTTTCTACTGCTGGCAAATCAGTAGCACCATTCTTAGAGGAACTTGGAATGAATGCACGTCAGGCACACCAATAGGAAAACACCGATGAAGTCATTCTTGTCACAAGTAAAGGACATGGTACTTTCTGTTTTAGAATTTTTACAAATGGAGCCCATTTAATTCTTATAGTAACTGTTTCCCTCTCTCCCTCCCTCCCTCCCTCTCTCCTTCCCTCCCTCCTTCCCTCTCTCCCTCTCTCCCTCTCCAGGTTCAGAAAGTGTCCTCCTGGCAGCTGTAGCTTGTGGTTCAATGAGATCTTTGCTGTGTTCCTTTGAGAGTTCCCCTCGTGGGACCATGGCTCCACTTAGGACTGTCCCTGAACGTGACAGAAATGCTACTGCACATTTGTAGTGATCCTCACAGTGAGCTTGGACTATAGACTAGCTGGACAAGAGCAGTGGAGACTTGTGGGTGGTCTGGTTCAGGAACATCTTCTCAGATAGCTTCCTGTATCCTCGGGCTCATCTTTTATGTACCCTTCCTGTCTTCTGATAGACTGACGCTGGGGTCATTCAAATGATTTATGAGTCTCCCAGGACCTGGCTCTCAGTGAGTCTCAAGGTCAAATGTTGCCTCTGCATCTGCTGTTGATGCTATGTCTTCTGTCCAGTCCCAGGTAGAGGCTTATGTCACACCTCCTCTCACAGTTGACACTACCAGTGCCACAGAAGTTTCTCCTGGAGGGGACCCATTGACCACCTCTAGGCTGTGACAACACCACCCTTCCTTTATGACCCCCAGATCTTCTTGACCCCAGCTCTCCTCTGGCCTCATATACAACCCTTCGCAGCCTTGTCTTTCCAGGAGCAGAAGTCTCATCTTTGGCCCTTATATGTACTGTTGGTAGCTAAACTGTGCCCCTTAAAAAGGCATAGTTACTATATAACTAACCTGCAAGGCAGAATGTGCCCACTGGTGCAATAGTAGCAAGCCTGTTACAAGGTTAACTGCTTTCTGATTGAAATCGAGGCCCGTGTCACAGAAACTAATTCATATCTACTATCATAAACACAGTCAAAAGCCCATGCTGGGGAAATCACGGTCCTAGAAGATCAGCTACTGCTGTTGTTTTGCTAAATGGACTTTATGGGCTCATCAGATCACCTTCTTAAGAACCATGTTCATCTCCACAGATGGGTATTGCTGCTAGATTAGTGGAAAAAGGCAATGGTTACTGCAGAGACTCTCACAACTGGTCAAAGTGCTGAGAATGAATGACTATTGAATGCTCAACCATAACCGAGGCATCTATGTTGCCCTCTCAATGCTCATGGGGCTCACAGAAGAGAAAGCAGAATGGATGTAAGAGCATGTGAATGGGGTGGAGTATTGTGGCTGCTTTCCGTAAACGGCATGACCAATAACTTTAGGACATATTTTTATTTTTAATCGTGCGTATCTGTGTGTGGGTGTGTGCAGGTGAGTGCAGGTGCAGACACCCTGAATCTGGGGTCATAAGTCAGTTGCGAACCACCCGATATTGGTGCTGAGAGAAATATGAGCTCTTAACCATTGTGCCACCTCCCCAGCCTGGCTGTTGCGCTCTTCTGCTCACAACCGCGGTGAGGACCTGCACAGGACCTGCACAAGACTAGGCTGCTATGGGGCTGGGAGTATAGCTCAGTGGTAGAGACCACGCTTACTTAGCAAGCTCAAGGTTCTGGGTTTGATGTCAGAACCAACCAACTCACCACAAACCCCACCACCAAATAATGCCAACCCATGGCACAGTGGAAGATCTTTTTCACATGTCCTTTGACATGTGTGTGCATGCAGGCGTGTGTGGGCAGGGTGGGGAGCTCATGTGTGAAGGTCAGCTTGCATGTGAGTGTGGGTACTGTCTGTGGTCCCAGCATGTGTGTGCATGCAGGCGTGTGTAGACAGGGCGGGGGGCTCACGTGTGAAGGTCAGCTTGCATGTGAGTGTGGGTACTGTCTGTGGTCCCAGCATGTGTGTGCATGCAGGCGTGTGTAGACAGGGCGGGGGGCTCACGTGTGAAGGTCAGCTTGCATGTGAGTGTGGGTACTGTCTGTGGTCCCAGCACCCACCCTGCACAGCCATGTTTGATTTACGGCCATATCTCACCTCGCTCCATGAAAGGACTCAGGCAATGGCTGCTTCCACTGTCTGCCAGGTTTTTTCTGTTAGACTGCTGTGGGAATGACTTGATTGCCTGTGGCAAGAGCCAAGTCAGCCGGGGCTCAGACCTCAGAGTCTGGTACACAGCACGCCCTGACATGAGACGTCTAGGGCCCCCAGGGATAGGCACCACAGCTTTGTGAATACAAGTCTACTGACACTCGGCTATCCAGGATCAACTTGCAAACGTCTCCTGACTCCAGAAGACTCACAAGTCCTTGGCCTTCAAGGACAAGCCCTTAGCATCTGACCAGCCAGGTCAAAGCTCTGGGAGTGCCTGGGAACAGGATGGTGGTAGGGGTGGAATTGGGCAGATCTCCAGATTTAAACACATCTAAGCCCCAAATGCTTCTAGTCCTTCAGCAGCTCTCAGGAACAACAAATGGAGGGGAAGGTTTTGTCACGTGACAGCTACACACAGAGGGGAGTCACAAGGACCATGGCAACCATCAATCAAAGGCAATTTGCAGCCTGTGTTTCAACAGCACCATTGCTGCCATGAGCTTGAAGGTTTAGTTTTAATTAGGGCAAAGTGGCTCATCTCCAAGCTAGGCCTGGGAATTACCAGGCTCTCACAACACATCGTGTAGTTTGGCAAAGTGGCTTCTGGGGAGCTTTGGAGTGATGGGGCTGCTTAAGGCCGGCTGTGCTGTGCACTGTCCCACTGGCCTGTTCCTGCGGAAGCCTCTGCAGGGATCATTCTGACCTGGGATGCAGATGCCAGGGCACCAAAAATAATGTCCTGGGACAGGACCACAGAACCCAGAAGCCCTCTCCCCTCCTTCTCTTCTCTCCATATGGCTCCCTTCCTTTCCTGTTTTTCTTACAGAGTCTCATGTTATATGGCCTGGGCTGACCTGGAACTCCTTACATAGTCCAGGCCGATTTAGAACTTTGCAATCCTCGTGTGTGTGTGTGTGTGTGTGTGTGTGTGTGTGTGTGTGTGTGTGTGTGTGTGCATGAAGTATAATTTTTTTCTGAGACAGGGTCTTGTGTAGCAAAGGCTAGCCTGGAACTCATCTGCCTCCAAAGAGGAAGGCACTAAGTCCAGAGGTCAAGAAGCATGCACAGGTCTTGGAGTCACAACTAAGCGCTCAGAGCCACCACTCAGACTGCTACCAGCTTCTGTGGAAAACACTGTATCTCCTGCTGTCGAGGCCAGACGGCTCTGGTCACATCCCCTGCCCAGCACAGTGCAGACGCTACATGTCCAGCTTCCTCCTTGCCCGGTGAACATCCACTATGTGTGTCTGTCCACTTCTGATTGGAGGAGGACGTGTAGGAGCCATGGTTGTAGAGGCAAAGCCTTCTGTGAGCACGAGGGGCGACACTCCTCAAATGTAAGTTGCCTCTGTATCTGGAAAGCTGTACATAAGGCACTCCAGCCAGCCCGTTCTCAGTGCCACAGTCATGAGAAAGCACACTGCCTGGGAGCCACAGTCACTGGTCACAGGAATCTCTCCGTTTACTGTGCTTTTGTTTGTCAATTCTCTTATCTGTGCCTTATACATGATCTCACATATTTCTTCTACAAATCACACTTTACTTTGAACTCTGGGCATAGAGCCAGGGTTTGTTTTTAAGGCAAGGGGGTCTTGGGAAACACCCTAAGAAGCTGCGTACCACAAGACAAGGACTCATCACCAGGACACAGCTAATTCACTGGGCTGTTTCTACCCTATGGTACGCGTCATCTGGCAGACTAAGCAAACAGTCCAGGTCCCACCCATGCTAGTTTTCTGTTACTGTGACAAAATCTGCGGTAATCAAGCCAGAAAGAGATTATTTTAGCTCACGGTTTTGGAAACTCCATCACGGCGCATCACACAGAGGGAAGATGGGGCTTTTGCTAGGTTGTCATCACAATGAAGCCAATGTCACTGTGCTAATTACCTTTGTCATTGCTGTGACAGAGCACCTTAGAGAAGCATCTTAGGAAGGAAAGGTGCACTTGGGCTCACAGTTTGAGGGACAGGATGGGGATGGCAAGGTGAAGGTGGCCCCACATGGTATGTGCAGTCGGGAAGCAGAGGGCGATGCTGGCCCTCAGCTAGCTGTCTCCTTCCACTCAGTCTGAAGCCCCAGCCCATTGAGTGATGCTGCCCATAGTTAGGGTGGGCCTTCCCTCCTCAGTTAATCTAGAAAAACCCCTGTCGCCATGGTGAGTCAAGAGACTGCCAGGTGGGCAATGGGCACCAACTGTCACTCTGCTGTTTCTTACCTCCCTAGACTGGCAGCTTCTGTCAGTGACTCTCTAATCTCCAGTGTGTTGCTGGTGGATATTGTCATGATGCCACAAATTAAGGAACCTGGGCTCTGGAGACTGCAATCACTCAGGAATGAATGTGAGCCAAGACTTGAAACAGCTCTGCACCATGAGCTCAGGGGTTCTACTTTGGAACACTGACCCTAAAGCCAAGTGGCCCCTATGTTCCTTGTGACAAAAGCAGACTCCCCAGTCCCTACCCATAAGGTGACTTTTATGAACCCCTATTTCCCTCTCTTAACTTATAATCTTCCAATTTCTCCAACAGCTGAGATAATTAGAAGTGACAGTTTTTCCCTAGCCCTACCTCACACAGCCCTGTACAAAGAAAGACCTTGCCTTCTGCTCAGCACAGCACGCAGGTGGTCTGGCGGACACTTGTTTATCCGGATGCCTCCTGTTCTTCCACGTAAGCCATGTCCCTGGAGGAGAGGGTCTCCTGAAGTCCCACCCCTAGCCAAGAAGCCATTGGTAATTAATAGCAGATATGGAAGTGAGACTTGGATTCCTTCAGGGATACAGGCTCCAGTGGATGTTTCCACACCAGGCATATACAGGCAGCATTAAGAGGGCCCGGCATATTTATTTTTAAAAAAAGACTAATGCTCGAAGTGAGTAAAGAAGAGTGGGGACAGAGAAGCAATTGGAAGAGAGTGAACTGGAGGGTAGATTTGATTTAAAAAATACTTTTATGCAAGTATGAAGTTCTCAAGAAAAATCTAAAAAGTAAAAAAGAAAACAACAACAGCTTCATTCAATAGACCCCTCCCCACTTTCTTCTATTGGCCCCCATTAAGGAGATTTGTGGCATGTGGTGGGTGGTATCGTCATGTCACCTGCCATGGCCCTTTGCTTACTGTCTAAGGGAACTCTTTTGGAGGTGGAGGATAGACAAAGCCTGACAGATCAATAGTCCCCGGGATGCCACATTGTTTCTAGCCCGAGCAGATCCCTGGTGATCATGCGTCACCATGACAACCGTGCCATTCCAGACAGAGAGGTTCTGCATCCATGAGATGCAGACCTGCCGTTAGCACTTTTCACCCTGTCTGAATTATGGGAACCACAAATTGCTTTCAGGATCCCAAAGTAAAAGCCATAGATTCACCCTCAGGAAAGGGACCTGGGGAGCAGTCTCAGCGTTGCTCAAACCCTGTCCAAACACAGCTCCCTCCTCACACATCCCTGCTTTCCTCAAATCCACCTCTGTCTTGCTTTTGCCAGATCCACTCACCCAGAATTTTCTAAAAGCCCCAGCAATGCCAGTATGTAGAGAAGAACCTGGAGGGTGAAATAGCATGGAATGCATTGGAAACAGAAGCCAGCTTGGTTTGGCAAATTTGTGGGTCAGGTAAGGCAGGTGTGGGGCTGGCTCTCCACCACACCGCATGAGACACCGGGCAAGTTCCTCAGGCTCCTTGTTTGTCAGAGAAAGTAACACTGGACGCCTGTGATCTCAGCACTTGGGAGGTGGAGGCAGGAGAATCAGGAGTTCAAGGCCAGCTTTGTCTGCATATTGAGTTCAAGTCCAGCCTGTGCTACACGGAATTCTGTGTCAAAGAAGCCAAAACAAAATAAAACAAAGGAAGAGGCATTGCTGTGCAAACCTCTGTGGAGAGGAGATTAAAGTCAAGGGCAGCTGTGTGCTCAGTACAGAGACAGGCAGAGAGGCTCCAGGAGAGCAGCCGCTTGCCAAGAGGCATGGAGGGCCCTATGACCCGACACAAGGAGTGGGGTCATCAGGAGGCTGGAAAGAAGCTCAGCAGTTAAGAGCACTTGATGCTCTCACAGAGGACCTGAGTTCTCTTTCTAGCACCCATATCAGGCAGCTGAAATCTGCCTGTAAGTCCAGCTCCATGCACCACATGCCCCGGCTCCTATGGGTATCGTATTCACGTGTTCACACATGCTAGCACACACACACACACACACACACAACCACAATTAAGTGCAGTAAAGTACACACTTAATTTTTTCTGAAAGAAGCTTGTGCTTTGTGTGGTGGGCAACGGGGAGGCAAGAAAAGCTTTAAAGCGGAGGAATGGTGGGGGCTACAGTGAACCGCAGTTTACACATGAGAAGATCTGGGCACAGGATGGCCAGGTGACTCCATCAAAGCCACCCTGTTACCGGGTGACAAGCTTGACTTGAACTCTGCTCTCATACAATCCAGAGCATCCACAAGGGTTATTCCTCCTGTGGCCAGGGTGGAAGATGCGGGCCTGGATACCTATTGAAGTGTGTTGTTTAAGGAAATCGGGTTTCCTGAACATGCATCATTTGACTCATTTGGAACTTCACCTAAGGGAACCCCAGTAGGAGACGATTGCCTGAGTTCCCCATCTGAGAACACAGGTGTTTACAACCCTCACCCACTCAAGAACACAGCAATCCTTCCCTAGGCATCCACTCGATGGGAAGGTGCTGTGGAATCATATTTTTGTACACTGTGAAGAAGTATCACTTGGGTTTGGTGTAATACAAAGCTGAATGTCCAATAGTTGGGTAATACTCCCAAAGCCCATCTCATGGGGAAATCACTCTTCCCTCCTTCACACAAGATAGGGGGTGGCGCCTTGACTGGGGGTGTCCTAGTCTCACTTCTGCTGTTGGGATGAAACACCCTGACAACTCCAGGGAGAAAGTGCATATCTCAGCTCACAATTCCAAGGTGCAGGAAGACACTGTGGGAAAGTCAAAGTGGCAAGAACGTGAAGCAGCTACGGACATCACGTTCACAGCCAAGAGCAGAGAGCAATGAACGCAAGCACCCTTAGTGCTCGACTACTGTTACACAGCCCGGCGCCCAGGGCCTGGGGATGGGGCTGACCACCCTCAGGCTGTGTCTTCCAATAGCAACTAACAGTCATGACAACCGCTATGTGCTCACAGGACACAGAACCTAGACAGTCTGAGACTCTCTTATCAGGAAATTCTATGCTCTGCCAAGGTGACAAACTAACCAGAGTCAGCCCAGCTTCAGAACCCTGCACAGAACGTGTCCAGGCTCTGCCACTGGCTGCCTTTTTCCACAGGAATCCTACCCAAGCTTCTCAGCAGAGTACAAAGCCCTTCTCTCTTTCTTTTGACCTCAGGTTCTCACACCCTGAGGGTCGTAGTGAGCTCCCTGGATCCAGCCTCAGCTTTGAGCCTTCTGGGGGTTCATTACTGTCCTTCATAGCACTCCACACTGTACATAAGTGCCAGGACCAGGCTACAGACCTCCATTGAAACAAACGTGGCTCTCTTCTACAAACTGACAAAAGAAACAGAAACAGTAAAAGAACAATTAGTATTTCCCCCACATAACAAAGGGTTCTGACAAAATCATTGAAATGAGAGAGGCAGTGTCATTTAGATACTGGATAGAGCAAGAGTTAAACTCAAGGAAGGGTGAAGATTTCCTGTTTGACATTACAGTCACCTGCCTGTTAATTGAAATTGTTTCCATAAAGTGAATGGGAAAGGAATACTCATATAACAATAACCAGCTAGAAAAGCAATGAAGGAATGATGGGGGAAGTCTTCTGTGCATGTGCTTATCTTATTGGCTATTGAATAAAGTGCTGTTGGCCAATAGGGAAGCAAGGCAGGTGGGACTAGAAAAAGGAGGATTCTGGGAAAGAGAGGCACAGAGTCATGATGTAGGACACGGGAGAATTAAGAGGTCAGGAACGTTTCTCTGGTAAGAGACATGGAGATACTCAGATTAGCAATTATGGGTTAAATATTAAGTTAGAGTTAGCCGATAAGAAATCATAACGAATGGCCAACATCTTCATAATTAATATAGAGTCTTGTGTGTTATTTGGGGGCTGAAACTGCCGCAGGGCCCAGGCGGCTGGCAGGGAGAATACACGTTACAGAGGAAGAAAGACATCGTTCATGAAAACAAGGCAAAGGCAGCAAGGTGCAGCTCCCCATGGAGATGACGAGGCTCCGAGTGAGGTGAGATAGAATGACAGGTGGTGGCCACGCTGTCCAAGGCCATGGTCTCATGTTTCTGAAAGTATTGTCAGCAGACAATGAATAGAATCACACACACACACACACACGATTTAAAAATATCTAACTGTTCTTCCTCCAAGGAGGTAATACAGGGGAAAACCTATTAATTATTCCTGGAGAAGCATGTCACTGTGAAGCATGTCACTGAGTATCTCTATCAGGTTA